TTTTTTTGTCGGTATTAAATATAATCTAAAAAATCGTTGTAATATTGATTAATATAATTAGTTTATTAATTTAGACCTGTAGCCTAAAACGACATGCCTCTGAATGTTACAGCGCCCGTGTGGGATAAATACAATAAATATCCGTACATTTAATGTAAGAAGGAAATGTCATTCGTGGATTCGTAATCTGATATGGTTATCTAAGATAGCATCGCGTGTACTAGTAGTACTAGTTAGATAAACAAATCAAGAGTGAAGATTTAGAAGTAAAGTTTAGGAAATAACGTATATTAGGTAAAGTAATTTTTTTTTTTTAAAGACAATTCACACCAATTGACCTAGTCCCATGCTAGCTGGTGAAGCTTGTGTTATGGGTACTAGGCAACGAATATACATACATATTATAAATATATAGACATATAAATACATATTTAAACACCCAAGACCTAAGCACAACACCAAATGCTCATCACATCGATGTTCGTCTCAGCCGGGAATCGAACCCGGGACCCATGGATTCGCAGTCAGGGGTACTAACCACTAGACCAAGGAGTCGTCAAGTATAGGAAGTAACGTATGAATGAGTACACTAAAATATGTATCGAAAACTGTAGACATTTTAAATATTTCTCTCATTAGGACTATTTGTAACTTATTACACATGACGTACGATAAAAGCTGCAATAGCAAACATATTTTTCTTTCGCTCACAGAGACTATTTTTTTAAATAAAATAACTAGCTGCCCCCGCGAACATCGTTTCGCCTGAATATGATTTTTTTACATACCCTACCTTTTTAGTAGGTACATACCAATATATGGAACATTTTCCTATGCTGATGCATAGAGGCTGCTCGCTTTACCGGGATAAGAAATACATTTTAGGTTTTTCCGTGGATTTTTTTTCTTTAACCGTTTCTCAGACTTCAATGACTAAATAAAAAACAACTACTCGAATTGCTCCAGCCGTCTTCGAGTTTTGCGCTTAGCCACATATTTGTGATTCATTTTTTTATCTATATAGTGTCGTACATTTATTTTTTAAATTTATTTAGGAATAATGTAATATTTATTTATATATTCAACACAATATCACAACAATAAAATGAAATTACAAAAATGTATTCTTTTAAAATACATGAGTAAATGCACTCCTTTTCATCGTTCGCGTTTATAAATAAAAAAAATTTCAAACTTCCATATTATCGGTAAATTCAATGCAATATGAATTGAATACTTAATTGCAGATAGGCATAAGATGACAATCATCAGGGACCTAACAATTTTTAGCGATTTGTTTTAGCCAACCCGTAATATATTTTCATTAAATATTGGAAATTAAAATGTTAAAAATGATGACAATTTGCTTTGCCATACATTTTAACAGTGATTGGGAACTTCCTTTAAGCAGAATATATGTTAGTAATACCCAAAATACCTTCGTTTGTATGATTTTAAAATTTTATATGACCAAAAATCACACAATCCTGTCCTTACGTGTGACCCTAATCGATAAGAATGCATAACCAATGAACAAAATCATACGCGAAAGAAAAAACAAACAAGAAATTATTAGGAAAAACAAGTTAAAGAATTACATTATAATTTTTTTTTTAGAAGTACCATAGGCAAATAATATAACTTCTGTCAGTTCCCTCAATGGACATTAATAGTCCGTTATCCTATGTAATTCGTTTACTAAATGAATGATTAAGCAACGGAGACTTTAATTACATACTAGAACAAAAATTTCGGAATCAATTATAATGTGAGCCTAGAATGACAATCCAAAGCACAAACCACATTTTCCATTTTGTCGGTGGCATGTGACAATGTAGAAAGCTAAATTTAACCAAAGCATTTCTCGCTAAATGCAACGAGTTGCACTGCGGGTGACTTTTACTATTTGCATAGATACTAGAACTCAGGGCTGCTAATATTGCTAATACAATAGTTATCGAGTACAGTTAAATCTACCTATATTATACAGCCGAAGTGTACTTTATTTTGGTTGAACCCGTTAATGTCTAGTACTGGTGCGATTGGAAAAAAATTGTATCGGATTTAATGATTACCGCGAGTGAACATATACTTCAGTATACACTTCCAATAGATACAAAGGGTTTTATATATTTATCTTAGAGAGAGAAGTAAGAGAGGGAAATAGTAAACATTAATGAAGGAGGAAGCTAGGCATTTTAAACCAAGGCATCCCGTAATTCTAATATACATCCGTACAATCTTTCAAAGAAACGCGTTTTACATTGAGCATTCTGAGCTAGCTAATAACATTGAGCTAGCTAAGGGTACAAGAAATTTACGAAGATTATTAGTTACAGGCTAGCCTCAATGTTATTAAAACCATTGTCCAAGCAAAGAGGCAGAAATAATTTTATATTTTAAAGTAATTAATACAAATTATTATTATAGCCGTCTAGCGGCTAGGCTAGTCTAATTTGCGTTAGGCGTCAAGTCTTTCACCTATGAAATAGACAAATGTTACATACCAGAGAGCTACTAATCTCTGAATATTTGGCAATATACAAAACCTTTTAAAGCATTTTGTTTTGGTGTTTGAGAGCATATAAATAGTATGAACCTTAAGTAATCGATTAAATTATATAAAATTAGTTTTAGTTCAGATATTTGCTATGAACCGACTTGCATTCAATAAAGCAAGCAACCCTCAAAACTGCTATAAATTCTACAGAAAATAGAAACTTAATACAGATGTGTCGCAGCATTGGTCGTCTGGACTAGTTTAGCCATGGGTTCAACCTAAGGGCAAACCTGTCCTCACATTATATTATTATCTATGTAAATTTTGACCAACGTAAATATTTAACGAATCTTTCGCAGTTTATATTTATCGTATCTTTATTGTCGACCACTTCCTACTGTTTGTATGTACACGACATTGGTTTTAAAGAATTCATCAAAAAATTATATTAAAAAATCCTGAATTCACTTCACGCGTATTCATTTACACGATTATAAATATACAGACAACAATTATGTTTCATTTAATTAACTGAAATCGACCTCAGATCGTAAATTTCCTTAGGTGTCCGTTTTTTGCAAAAGAGTGTATATTATTTACATATTCATTCATTTGTTTTACGCCATTCTCAGATTACAAGTTTAATTTTGTTTTAAATACAGTACAAGTATAAAAATTGCATTTAAAATTTTTAACTGGTCATATACCACGGGCCAAAGCATTCATTACTAATTTGAATTACCTTATGCTGCATTATTACTTTGAATTCCCGTAAATTATAATAAACACAAAATAGTATTTGTGTCTATTTTACATTGCATTAACATAATACGTAACTGATATGGTCCCTATTATTATCATCATCATAATCATCATCTGATCATCGTTCTTTCCAACCCAAAATTGTTTTAGTCTAGTCGGGCATCGAACCCAAAATACATTTAGGAATTAGCAATCCCTTGACCACGGGATCGCGAATGCTATGTATTAGAGCTTATAAATGTTATTTCCGGCAAATTATAGCTACAATATAGATTTTCATAATATAATAGTTGAAGTGGGTTGAGGGTCAAATCCCGTCGAGACAAATGGCAATTGCTACTTCCTGAGCTGTTATGCGCAGACGCATGCAATGAAATGGTTAAATATAGTAAATTTTTTTATTTATATAGTGAAGATATTTTATAAACCGATATTTATTTTAACTACGCGTAAGATATAAAAACTACGAAATTAAGAAAAAAGAAGATTTTATAAAGAAATGCAATACAATCATTTTACACGCGTAACTTAAGTGATAATTAGTCGAAATATCGATATTACAAAATATAATTGATAATAATTTCTTTTTGATCTTATCATTTGAAATTTAAAAAATACATAAATTTATCTTGTATTTTTTACAATATAGTACTACTTTAATTGTTAAAAAAAATTAACGAGATCCTAGTACGAAAACTTAGAGGTAGGTTGGGACATAATACCTAAGTCAATGTTTAAACTTACAAAAGCATGAATGTTACCAACACAAGAAGATCCACTTACTGTGTTTTCACAGTTTTGTTTGCTCACTTGCATATTTGAAGTAACAACGACAAAGATTTGCTCAAGCGCATATCTAGGTGTCTAAGAAGTTCCTGAGAATACCCGAGTGATGATTGTTAGCAATTATTTTTAAATCCTTTTTTTATGGAACTAAACGAGCAGGCTCACATACAGATTTTATGATTAATATTATTATTGCCTGCTGTTTTTTCAATGTTACGTTGAAACTCAACAATTAATAATGAAAAGAATTACTTGAACCTGTAGCGTTACAAGTCCTGAGTACTGAGTCCAACTCAGTTTTTTGTATATTTCGTGTTCATTTATGTTGTGAATAGACCGTGTGCTGCGTGCTGTTACAGTGCCTTAACTTTAATGTGCATGATGGGTGCGTCAGAAGGCGACATCGTCCGCCGTTACTTCATGTGCTAGGACTAATCTAGGGCACATATGATTAGCTGTATACTTTAGTAACGAATTACATAGGTTAATAACATTTTTATTGTCAGTTGAGCGAACAGACAAAAGTTATATTCTTTGCTAATGCCGTTAGTTATTTTTTTATATTATGTTATTTTGTTTTTCCCAAGTAGTTTTTATGTTTGTTTTGTGTTTCGTGTGTAAATTTTTTACATTTTTTATGCATTCTTGTCGATAGGTCACCTGTTAGGACAGGTTGTGGTTTTATGAATAAACAAATAAAATAAATAAAAACATAATGAGACAAAACAGTCGCAGTGATGTTACTGCCTCATTTGCAGGTTATAAGACTTTAATAGATACTTTACTCCCGGGGAGCTTATTCTTATGATTTGTTACTGAACTTCCGCGCTAAGATCAATAAACTGTAGTTTAAAATCGTTCAAGGCAGGAGCATCAGTTGGCGCCTAGCCAAGCCAAGGGTTCAGATTGACGATCTTGCCAAAACACCGTCTGCTGCCAGAATTTGAATCTAATGAGCCGGTCGACTTCTCAAAGGTCGAATGTTAGAATAGCAACGAGGATATTGTGAGATTGTCCTATAGTAGTTATAGCCCCCTAAAATAATACTTAGGTATCGGGAAATAGGATTTCAATTCATAAATACTGTAGGTATTATCTCAGAGGTAGTCTTATGCCCGATTCTTAACCGATACACTGAAAGATTTCACTGAACAACTAGGAATAATAATATATAAGTTCAAATAAATCGGTTAAAAATATGAAACTGTCCTTAATAACATTTTAAATAAAAAGCAATGATGCGTATTTAAATAAGTTACGGGGATTTCATATCATAACCCATGAAGAGAAACAATATTTTTGAAGTCAACATTTTTTTTTTGATATTACATGAAAAAAGTAGCTGAGCACAAAATACATTCCAGAGCTGTAACGCAAGTTCGGCTCTATACATCGAGAGCAAACAACGTCTATGGTGAGAGAACGTTGAGGTATTTACTGCCGCGGCTAATAAATGGAATACCCGATTAGTTATTAGATATCATATAGCAACATAAAAAAACAAGTTGAAGAATTATTTTTATATGCATTTGTCGCGCTCCTGACTGCTATTGTTACATTAACACAAACCACAGTCGTTTTCAAATGTTGTCTAGAATTCTGTAAAATCAAAATTTATATTTTTGAAGTTATACTTCTTTTAGCGCCTTAGGGAAAAACGATGAGAGTATTTTTTTCGATTGTTAGTGTAGTTTTTTCTACAAACGTAGAATATGGCGAAAGATAAAATTTTTGAAAAGATTTTTATCTTGTTACGCCAAAGAAGTATAACTTCTAACGCATGTACATAAGTATTCCATACGTAAATCACTAAACCACAAAATCGTAATGAGGAACCATAGAAATTTTAATGGCGTAGTATTTTGGCAGGATTGAATTTTTCCCTACGTCATGTTGACTCCATTTGTGAGATAATTGTAATCACATATCTCAATACCAAAATACCTCATGAAATTGGGTGGAATCCAATTATTTGGAGCATTAGAATCAGCTGATTTGTTACTGGGTACTCTTATCTCGAATATATCGAATTTCAACACTTGTTGGCACGTAAAATAAAACGATGAAAACGTAAACAAGAAAATTTACGACGTTTTTAAATACTGCGGATTCTGTAAGTTTATTTTTGTTTTTTTTCGTCACTTTATTTATTTTATTTAGTTATTTGTTTCTATCACATTTAAATATTGCGTACGGAAGAGCGCCTGTCAATAATCTTTATTCTAACTAGATCAGTGTTTCCTAACCTATTTTCTGCCATGCCCCACCTTAGACTTCCAAAATTGGATTGCTAAAAAATTTAGAAATTAATTTAAGAAACTTCAATGATAGGTTTTAGGAAGAAATTACTTGGACATTTTTAACGAAACACAGTGAGTAGATTTTAAAACAAATAATGAAAAACGAAATTACCAAATATAATAATTATTTTTAAAAAAAATCGAAAAGCCCCCATTAACAATCAAATTTCACCCTCTGGGGCGTGGGCCCCACGTTGGGAAACACTGCACTAGATCTTAAAATTTTATTTAAGTATGTACTTCTATTCATTATATTATATAACCTATTAATATAGACGTAATAATCGGTTTACCCTGTTCCTTTCGAATTGTGTAGTTTATAAATAAAATATTTCTTTACAGAGACAATTATGAAGCGGAAACTGGCAACAGCTTTGATAAACCTAAAAAAAGTAATTCGAGGAAGTCATTAAATGTGACGACCTTTTCGGCTCCCACGGAAAGTGTTCCACCAATATTGGATGCTGTGGTAGAACCAGTAATTGAAACAATAGCATCGGTAAAAGAAATACAACCTATAGAATCACCAAAGCAACAAGAACCTTCAGGGATGGAATTTATGCAAGAGGAGATTTCGGAACGATTTTCAAACGAAGAACTTTAAATCCATTATAATGTGCAATTTTTAAATTTTTTGTTTTTAAATACATTATTTTGTTATCATGCTTTTTATTCAACAATGATATGGGCTTGATACTATACAGGCACTGGATGCTGATAACCTACTTGCCTAATAGATTTAAAAATGATCATGAAAGAGATTCAGAAATCTGAGGCCAGAACCTAATGAGGTTGTAGCGCCACTGATTTATTTTATTTTATAATATTTGATACTATATGTATCCTGTGTGCCAAGATCCAGTGTCTGTAATATTAAGATTACATACTAGAATCTAGAATTAAACTCCATTGTTTTGTTCCATCTCAAAGCATACGGGCCACTGTCTTCTAATAAACATATCTTCGTCCTTGGCGCGACATACATTCTCTTGTGCAGAGGAATCAGTCACCCACATAGTCCTGGAATGCGTGGCTGTGGCTTCTAAACTAACAGATATCCGCGGAGCTGTGTGGTCCCTTCATAAAGCCTGCGAAGGGTATATTAAACTTTTGAGCTTCTATAAGGATCTAAACAGGCTTAATTAGCCAGGACTTTATGCACAACGGACTAAATAGGCGTCTAAGTGCGGAAACTTAGTCCTAACTACATTCATACAATCCATCTCATATCAATCAACAAGACGGGTCCATATACAGGACTTCTATACGGATATAGAAAATACTACACATGGCATAGATATTCAAACCGACTTTATTTGTTTTTTTAAGGCTGCTAAAATGGTTATGTAATGCATAGCAACACGGCAATAAAATGACAACGACGATTCTAGATGGTTGCAATATGTTAACACATTTTGCATGTGATAATTCGCTAACGTCAAGTCTTGTATGTGATAATTTGTTTATGTCTAATATGAGATCTGTTAACACTCAGCGATGAGCGAATAAGGTCAAGTTCAATGTTAAAAATCGATTTTTCCAAACCTTGAAAACGCTTACATAATCGAAACCGGGCGTATTCACGAATTTTTGGAAATTCTTTATATAGCTGGGAACTTTCAATCTACCGTACAATGGAATTGAATATTAATAGAAAATAAATGATTAATCATCTAGGTAACTTAATGTACACTTATAAACGTCAGTAAATGGACGAGAAGAACTGGCAATAGGGTCTCCGTCACTATTTTTAATCGCCAACAGTTTTGCTAAAAAAATCAATTCAAAATTATTAGTTTTATGAAAAACTATAATTTCCTGTTTATATACAGTCATACATTTAGACAATAATCATTTCATGTAGGTTTGAAACAATTTTACTTAATTTTGATTTTTATACATACAACCTCTATTTTTTGTTTACAGTGATGATGATGTTTATTTATTTTAAATGAAATCTTTTAATATCTCAAAGTTTAGGAATTCTTAGGGTATTTGATTGTAGGACTTGTATCTTGTATACTATAATATTTCTCAATCTCGACTATATTCTGCATGTGTTAAACCTAAAACCTTTGGTTGATTGGAAAGTATCGATTGACCTCATTCTGTGCAAAACCTAGAGCTAGATTGTGTACGTTGTCGTTAACGAGGAACTTTGCAGTGAACCGATGGAGTACCGTCTACTATTCTTCACAAATATTTATGTATTATTTTTCACTTTTGAATTGCTTTAGCTATGTGAATAACACTAGCAGCTGCTCTTTTTTTATATTTCTGATACTTCAAACCTTTATGAAGCTAGATTTATTGCATCACCTCTTGTCTAGAATCTCGCCAAAGAGTGGAGTGCTTTCGTAACTTAAAATTCTTTTACAATTGATCTTTCTTTTTCTGATAACGCTTTATTAGTCACAGTATCAAGCAAGTACTGCGTGAACAATACTACAAAAAAGATTACGCGTCCAGCATAAAATTTTACAGAAAGCCACCACCTTAATTTGCTTCACTAGTTATTACATACCTGGTTGTATACTGTTTACAGAGGTTGGTTACCAGCTGCACCGGCACCAGAAGGGTCGGGAGCTGCCGCACAAGACAAACCAGGTCAGCAATTTTAAATATTGTTTAGTAATTTGTCTGTCACCAAATTGTATTTGTCATCAATTCGCATTCTATTCAACATATTTTTTCTTAGATTATTAAAATATGCAATTAAATTAGGCACCTGGGCCTACCATGAGTTTTAGGGCCAAGTTTCGGTTAGGTCCACCCATGATTGAAGATCTAGGTTTAATTTTCGTGTTCCTGAGCAGCAGTCTTGTAGGTTTTGGACAAGTTAACCAGTTCACTCGGATGTCAGACAATAAGGGACTTTTTTCCATTATTTTGAATGCTTATGATACAGAACGAGACTTTGGTGGTCGCGTCACCGCTGACCGGCTTTTGTCACGTGATTATTACATTGCTTTGATTAGTTTATTTTACGAAATAGCAGGCACAGCACAATTACCGGATTTTGTTGACTAGTGCTAAGACATGGTAGGCCCTGATTAAAGCTGTAATTCTCTGTGTTATTATTCATATATCTTAATATTGATTCCCCTCTGAAACTTTTTTATAAAATCCTTACATATCTGCACGGTGCTTTTAGCAGCTAGGCCGTTCCATTCCAAAAAAAAGTAGACGCAATATGATTACTATGCTAAAGTTTCCTTTTAGGGAGTGACCCACCACCAGCCCCAGCCGCTAACCCAAGTGGCTGAATCCAGCGAATCGGCATTGGAGAAGTACGCTTTACATTTTATTGTACATCAAAAATGCATGATGCCTAAGAAAGTAACATTTATATAAGGCCAGGATATTTGAGAGCCAATGCCTTTCGGAAAGTGACATGAGGCGAGGCATGTCACTGATACCACTTACTGTTATGAGATAAAAATACCGAATTTTCTTATAATGTTTTCACACAATTGGTTTAAAAATGACTTTGTTTTTGTTTGAGTCAAATTGGCAATATCTTAGCTACATACAATTGTAGTTAAATCGTATATTTCAAAGTTAGAAAGCCAAACAGAGAAATTAAATACTTGAATGAATTCCACGCAACAAAAATCAAGTAAAATTAATAATAACTGAATAGTTTAAAAGTTCGTCAAACTATTTATTTTAAAAAGTTCAAGCTTGTTGCTTAATTACTATTATGAGATAATATTACACAAAAGAACACAACGTTTAAAGGATTTCTTTTATGAATCAAAAATCGACCTTTTGCAAAATAAGAATCGTCTTGATGACAGATCAATTATTTTTTTTTTTAACACCAATATATTTTTATTGGTGACAGATTCGTTATAATCATACATTTTTGTTTTGTTTTGCAAACATTTGATTTTTATTTTTGTTTCAGTAGTAGTTAAAGTGGAATGTCTAATAGGGTGAGTTATATGATTATTTCGATTTATCTTTGGATCAAACATCTTCGATTAATTCTGCGAGTTGCATGCATTCAATATCCAATAAAATAAAATATAGAAATAAATAAGTATCAAATCACCGGGGTATTTAATGGAACTTATTTCGATCAAACTAAATTTGTTATCGAGTCGTTGAAAAATTTGGACAGGAAGGTGTAGTAAAAACTGTAAACGTTATCGTTTTAGTTTTTTAAAGAACATATTTTCAAGACTAATTTACAACACTTTTACAACGTTCAATAATAATTGTCTGTGACTTGTTCGACACATAAGGCACGGTGACAGTGAGAACTGATTCCAGAAGCAATATTTAAAAGTTACACAAGACCTTCAAAAAATGTTTAACTGTGCCTCCTGAGGGAGTTACAGGATTTTACACATACATTTTTCTTACAGGCCATAGTGCTGGATTCGAAGATGTCACCCGCAAGCTAAAATCAACTAAACCATTTGTGTATTTCAATACTATAATAAAGTATATCACAAGCAAGTATTGTCTTTAAATGAGAATTGAAGATTTATTTATTAAGGTCAGTAAATTCTTTACAATGTAAACAAGAGACTGATCCACTTCAACATTTTTAGCCAAATGTGACGCACGTGCATGAACTATGTAGTGTAGGGTTACCCTTATAAAAAAATAAACCGGTCTTATAAACATTGTGCAGTAAATTGTAGGTTTTTCACTCAAAAGGTGAATCACTCTTTATGTCTTCAAAGATTGAAGCAGACTGCAGTGAAAAATGCGGATAGATCCAATATAATTAATAACTAGGTTTAATTTTAATTAACGTTTATTGCAGTATGTACATAAAAACAGTTTTAATGACAAATATATAAAAGAAAATACGGTTAAAATCCAACATATGTTTATAGCATAATTGAAAAATAATAAGAAATAGTTCGTAAATAAAGGCCACGCATTGAATGGACGGTTTAAAATTATTCTGGCAACCCTAAGTCTCGACAAAAAACCTGGCTATGATTTATACCATTCCTGCTAAAAATAAAACTTGTATAACTCTCACACCTCTGTCTGACCTTGAAAACGGTTACGAAATCGGAAATGTTTCAGCATATTCAGTTCAAAGAAAACTTTTATGCGTAAATATAATTGCGCAACAAAGACGCCATGTTTTTTATCAACTACACGAAATTTGCAATAAGTTTTAACAGGATTTATAATAGAATTAAATCTTTATAATAGGTATCCAAAAGATGTATGTCTCAATAGATTAGATAATTTTTTTACCATAATGTTTTATACACACATGTTGCAATATAGGTGCAATCTCCGGAAAAATACTTAAAAATGTCGACGTTTTAAAAGCATTATCTTGCATCAAACGCAAGCGCATCACTTTCTATTTCTCCTTAGCAACGTGATATAAATATATTGTCTCGTTTTAGCCATACTTTTAGTATGCAACTTGGCAAGCGAGTGAGTTCATCAACCCGTGATTCATGGACACCATATTTGGTTCAAACCATAATTAGTCGAGTACCCACTGGAGTAATTGTACACTAAATTTTATGACGTAATGTTTCGACATTGAAGACAAATTTGGTTCCACCTTCATTGTAGGCACTGCAAGCCTGGGAAGCGTGACGACTGACGCATGATTGA